CAAGGGGGAGCAGATGGGGGCGAGAAGGCCAGTGGGGGGGTCAGTTGGGGGCAATCAGGCAGGCAGGCAGGTGAATGGTTAGGAGCCAGCAGTCCCGAATTGCGAGAGGGATGTCCAGAAACCAGCAGTCAGACATCCCCCGAGGAGTCCCAGATTGGAGAGGGTGCAGGTTGGGCTGCGGTCCCCCCCAACTCGTGCACGAATTTCGTGCACCAGGTCATTAGTCCTATATAATAAAAGCCTTGATGGCATCACACCCTTGCGTGATGCCCGCGTGCAATGCCCTCATGCAACATCATCACAAGATGGCCGCCACAAGATGCCTGGCAGGGGAGGGCAGTGATGGGCGATCGAGCTGGCAAGAGAGGGCAGTTGGGGGTGACCAGGCCGGCAGGGGAGGGCAGTTGGTGGTGACTGGGCCAGCAGGGTAGGGCTGTTGGGGGCCATCAGGCTAGCAGGGGAGCAGTTAGGTGTCAATCAGGCTGGCAGGGGTGTGGTTGGACCTGGTGGGGGGGGGTAATTGGGGGTGATCAGGCCAGCAAGGGGGAGCAGATGGGGGCGAGAAGGCCAGTGGGGGGGTCAGTTGGGGGCAATCAGGCAGGCAGGCAGGTGAATGGTTAGGAGCCAGCAGTCCCGAATTGCGAGAGGGATGTCCAGAAACCAGCAGTCAGACATCCCCCGAGGAGTCCCAGATTGGAGAGGGTGCAGGTTGGGCTGCGGTCCCCCCCAACTCGTGCACGAATTCATGTTAAGGAAGTTATATTTCTAAAATTTTTGGTAAATAATACTTTAATCTATAATAATAAAAGCCTAAAATGCTAATTAGACTAGACAGCCAAATGACCTTCCGGACGAATGACGTCCTTCCAGACGAAACCAGCACAGCGGGGGCTGAGGCATAGATGGTTAGGTATGATTAGTCAGGAAGTCGAACAGTTAACACATTAAGTGTTAGCTTGTTTTGTATACCTGATGGAAAGTACAGTGCCACTCATTGGTGACTGACATGGTGCTTAATGTGTTAAGGGTGATCAGACAGGCAGGCAGAGTGGTCAGGGGCAATCAGGCAGGTAGGCAGGCAAGCGGTTAGGAGCAGCAGTTCTGGATTGTGAGAAGGATGTCCCAGATTGGAGAGGGTGCAGGCCGGGCTGAGGGACACCCTTCCGTGCACAAATTTTGTTCACCGGGTCTTTAGTATGAATATATAGGAAGGGCTCTTCAGCAAGAAGAGAAAGAAACACTTTTCTTAATGTGTTTTACCCGATTCTTTAAAACTCCTGATGTTTTCCAAGAAACTTATGTCCTTATGCAATTGGTAAATGAGGATTGACCTGAGCCAAATCTTCTAAATCCTGTCCAGTCCTGTTTGCTTTCACCACACTGTCTTTCAAAACCCCCCAGAAACTCAACCTCAAGAAAGTAAAATGCAAAAAACATAAAAAACAAACAAACAGTTCCTTAGTTATATGTTAATACAACTATGATGCAGTTTTGAAAATATTTTTCATTTTCATTATTCATCTCTTTGGTCTCAAACTTCTCAAACATCTTGAACTTTAAACTTGGAAATCTGTACTCACTAAATATAGGGAGGCAGCTAAGGATAAGGCCATGGACTTTCTTGCCCTAAGAGACTGGTAGCTATGATTGTATACTTACACATATGTGGGTGAAAAGGAAAAGAAAAATTAAAAATTATTACATTAAAAAAATGTAGGTGTCATTAAGGTTTATTATTTGAACTTTT